AACCTTTTAAAACGCCTTATTAACGGCTAATCAGTCTGAGTACTGATCAGACTTTATGTCCTTTCTCTGCTGTTATATACAGTACCTGTTCACATTTAGGGAATCAAGCAGGTAACCCTGGTTTCAACTTTGCCTTTGGGTGAGTGAACCAAATCATCCGTTCACACTGCCAGAGGTCTGCAAGGTGCTGTTGATGTGAATTTAGTTTATTAAAAGAGAATGAGAGTTTTTCTTCTCTCTCCCTTTTAACAGAAATATTCTTCAGATTGGGCGGCGGGGGAAGGGTCTGGGGCTCTAGAGATCCATCGCCTCTCTGAGTATAATTGTTTGACACATGCCCTGCTGTCACAAAGTGGGGTTGTTTCCCAGACTCTGCTAGGGAGAGAGAGAGGGAAAAAAAAGTGCAAAGTAATAATGAGTGTTTAACAAGGCTCATAAATCAGCGCTGATGAGAAGTGCTCAGGACAGACGCAGTGAGAAGACGGCCAGGCAACGGGTGACCAGCGAGAGGATAAGAAGATGAAGGTCGTTCGGAGTGGTATTAACGCCAGTGATACCCCCAAACACTACGTGTTGTCAAATGAAACACAGTCCCCTGCTAAATCAAATGCAATACACTTAATGAAAACTCAGTCAACTGAACCAAATAGTCGGCAGTTGGTGCATAATTATAACCTAGGCAAGATATATTAAATTAATAGATTCAGTCTCCCATAAATGTATCATTAAAATGTATAGAATTGATACGCAATTAATCAATGAGTGATTTTAAACTTACACATAAAAAGACAATCAAGCTACATGCAAAGGACAGTCGCAAAATTAGCAACATATGGATAATCTATTTTGGCACTTTTTTTTTCCACTGCAAATTCTTTACAAATGAAAGAAAATTGAAACAGACCATCAAGGAGCTCACCTTGAATTTCTTCATCTGTTACCGGTGAGAGCTAAAAATCAAGAGAGGATTTGCAAAATATATCGTTTCCCAGGATGTTTCAAAGCAGGCTTAGAATTAAATGAAAACTTTTTTTTTCCCCTTTAAGTCACAAACAAGGAGCTTTAGCTATTAAGCCTCCTTTTCTTTCGGTACATCTTATTATCAGTGCCGCATAAACCTCGAATTTTAATACCAGGTCTATATGCATGTGTATCTGTATGCAGATGTGGTGCATACAAAGCAAGTATCTCTATGGAAATTACAATAATGAACCGTAGACTAAGAAATATTTTGAACTTCCTTCTCAAATTATGCTCTGCTTGGTATCTTATTCTACCCGTAGTTAGGTGTCTCCTTTCAACATCTCTGTCATCTCCATTTGAAGACATTTTCAGCGGTTTATCACTGCCATCTCCAGCCCTGCACATTTGCAGCAGGTTATCACAATTGCCAGTCCCCCCGGCTGATGTGTTGTGCTGATTACCATCAGTGCCCTCAGATATTTGGTGCGGATTCCCAGCACTGCAATATCCACTCTTAGGACATCTGGAGCAGATCAAAATCACTGGCTTCATTTTTTAGAGTCTGTGTTAAAGCTTCACATATCCTCCCTGCAAACATATCCTTCAGTCAATTCCTGCAGAACCAGCCTGTAGTTAAAATTCGGCCAAGCAGCGACCCCTATGTCTGGATTTGCATTTCTTATCGGACCCCTATCTAAACTGATTTGTTAATAATAAAAAGAAAATCTCTTGGCAGTGGATGCATCGCCTTAAGAAACTGGAAGGATCACACTGTCTTAGCAAACTCCTTGCCAGGAAGGGCTTTTTAAAGAGAAGATAATCTGCCCAATGATCTTTGAATTATATGAGCGTGGCCATTTAGGTCGATTTACTTTAAACAGTATGCAATTTATTTCAAGTGACTACCTGAGGTATAATCACATTATACTCAAAGTTTCTACATTTTTCGCTTCCCGCTTGTTTTCATATGTGCTCTCCAATGTAAAGGTGACTCTGCTTTTCATTTGGATCCCAATTCTTTTCGTGTGCGTGTATGTATGTGCTACGTGACTACTATATTTTAAAATGTTCTTCGGTATCGAGTTGGCACGGAACTCCTTTTTGTTAGATTTTGCCTAAAGTTAAGAGGACAATCTAACAACTAAAACAGTGATGAGGAGAAAGGAAAGGAAAGGAAAGGAAAGGAAAGGAAAGGAAAGGAAAGGAAAGGAAAGGAAAAAGGAAAGGAAAAAGGAAAGGAAAAAGAGAGGAAAGGAGAGGAAAGGAGAGGAAAGGAGAGGAAAGGAGAGGAGAGGAAAGGAAAGGAAAGGAAAGGAAAGGAAAGGAAAGGAAAGGAAAGGAAAGGAAAGGAAAGGAAAGGAAAGGAAAGGAAAGGAAAGGAAAGGGAAAAAGAAGAGTTCTTTGTCCAGATTATGTTAAAAATATTTCGGAAATCTATATTTTATTCCACCACTTGGCAATTTCCAGCTAATCTACGAGGGGTGGGGGGGTGGTCACATCAACCTTTTTGACTATTTAGGTCTTGGGTTTAATGATTTTCCCGGTGCTTCTGGCAGATGATGGTGATGTTAGTAATTTTCCGTACAGTTTCGTTCTTTTCTCACTTCTGTGACTAAGCTCCTGCTATAGGTCTTGTATGGGGAGAAATAAACCCAGAATCTCCCAGACCCTCACTAAACTGATTTTCAAGCTAAGTAGCTTAGTATAGCAGCTCTGGTCCCAGCGTACTTGCACAAGGGCGGGGGGTGGGATGGGGGGGAGTGGAATTAAAAAGGGCTTTGAGAGGTTGCCTACTAAAGTAATAAACTGTCAGGGAAAAAAAAAAAAAAAAAAAAAAAAAAAAAACAGTGCCAGATGCAGGAGCTGGGGAGCTGGAGCGGCGTAGTAAGGGGGGTCGCAATTGTTGATCAGAGTTATTGTGCATAATTAATAGCGTTCTTACTCCTCCTGAAGGGTTTCTTTTTTTTTTTTCCTCCATTCTTTCCGTGTTTTTTTTTTGTCCTTCTCCCCGCCCTCCCCCCCAAAAAATAGCGTTTCAGGTAAAAGCTCACTTTTTGTTTGTTTGCTTCATTCCCATGCAGGGTGATGAACAGCAAAGTTCTCCCCGAAAACATGCTGAACTAATGGAAAAGCTTTTTCTCTTTTCTTTTCTTTTCTTTTCTTTCCGAACTGAGTAGGATGGGGGCGTGTGGGGGAGGGGATGACTCACATTTCTTAAGCCTCTAAGTGGAAACCTGTTCTGGATACTCTGGATATTCCGCCCAGATCTATAGCGTTAAGAATATTTCGGCAGTGTCAGTGCCTTATCCCACCTTCATTTTACCTGCAGTCCTTGCAATGTGACAGTTCCAATCGCGAAACATCGCTGCGGTTTCCAACACCTGCTCGTCTTTGTCGCAGCACTTTTGTTTGAGGGTCACCCTCTTGGTTCGAGGATGAGATTATGAGGTGGGGGAAAGGTTTCTCCCCGCCTATTAGAAGGCGAAAGCTCTCTCGTTTCCAGCTGATGGGGGGGGAAAGGAAGTTTAAGCAACTCTCTCAGACTGAGATGTTTCTCGGAGCGCGGTGAGGGAAAGGTAGTCTAGGGTTAGCGACACCCTACGGAGCCGTTTGTGAGGGGGGGAGGGCTCTCTCGCCTCCTCAGGGGCGGTCAGTGCCGGCTGCAAACGCGGAGGCTCCGGGGAGGACGCGGGGAGCGCGGAGCTCGGGAGCCGGCGCTGTCCGGGCTTCGGAGAGCGGAGCGAGGCGCGCGAGCTCCCCGCCCCCACACTCCGCCTTCCCTCTCCGCCCCAGGCAAGCACTTGCATCCCGAAAAGCAGCGGGCCCGGCCCTGTAGGGCCCTCTGTGAGCCGTCCCCTTAGGAAGGACCCCGTCCGCGCAGAGCCGGAGCCGCCGGGCGGGCGGCGCGCGGGGCCAGAGCGGCGGAGGCTCCGCGGGACCCGCGACGAGGAGTCCCCGGGGCTCGCCACCCTCTCGCTCCCGCCTTCCCCGCAGGGCCCAGCCGGTGCTGGGTAAGGAAAGTTTGCGGTTCCGCGCAGGCAGTGCGAGTCTCTGCCGGTCCCGGCCCGGGACGGGCGAGCGTAGACACCTCGAGGGAGCTCGCAACGTTACGGGCAGGTCACACTGACAGTCGGTTTCCTTCGAGGCGCCCGAGTCCCTCGGAAAAGAGTCTTTTGTCTCTCGCTGTCCCGTCTCTAAGTGAAAGAGGGGGGAGGAGGAAGGAAGGAGGAGGAGAAGCAGAAAGAGGGAGAAGGAGAAAAAACATCCCTACCTCTAATCATTGTTAGTCACAATCACGTCAACAACCCGCTTTGGACCTTTCGCCCTCCCCACCCTCACCGTCCTGCGTTTCTCCGTCCATACGGGCGGCTTGGAAGTTTTGACTACCTACAATCCCGACAGGCTCCCCTTGCTTTGGGGACGAGGGCTGTGAGGCTTCGCTGCCCGTCAGCATACATGTCTTCACCGGTGATTTGCGGAATTATTTATTGCTAATATTCTGCGGACTGTCGCAATGCCCCCGATAATTGTCCCCTAGTGTCAATCGGTCGGCAAGGCTGGGGTGGGGGCGGGAAAGGGGAGGATCACTGCGGGTCTTTTTCTATTTTTTTTTTAATTAAAAAAAAAGGTTTCTGGAAAGAACTGTTACGAGCCCTTCGCCTCTCAGCAAAGTTGCATGCGTGTATGTGGCGTTTGTGGGTTGCTATAGATAGATCAAATTTAATTAATTATTTGTGTGCCTTTTCAGTCGCCTAGCTGCAAAGCCCACTTTTCCTCCCACGACCATTCTTATTTGTTCCTGAGTCCAACGACGGCAAGGGGGACTCAGTGTTAGAGGTGGAAAAAAAAAAAAAGCAACACAGTTGTTTTTTGTTAAAAGGGGACACACTAGGGCTGCGAAACAGCAAAACCCCAATGTTGGACAGCTGTAAAATCGTGTAGACAGGATGTCATACAGCAGTGGGGGCTTTTCTGAAAGGAGCCCATTGCTGAGTACTAAATACACACACAGCCCAGCCCAGCAGCTGCGCGCACACATGCACACACACACGCGCGCGCGCGCGCACACGTCGCGGAGAGCGGCGCAGGCTGCGCTGCGCACCACGTGCTGCGCCGAGCGGGGCGGGTGGGCGCGCGGGGCGGCGCTTGCAGTTCAAGTGGATGCCAATCAAAACATCAACTTCAAATTGTATCTGAAAGATCAGCCTAGGACCTAAGGGCAGACACATCAGTTGGAGCTCAATTGTTGATCAGATCACATCTAAGGGATTTAGGAGCACAGAAGAGCTGAGATTTGAGGAAGGACACCCCATTGAATCCTTCCACAGTACTCCTCCTCCGTATCTAGATTGCAATATTTCTCTGACAGAAAGAAATCAGAACCAAAACAAAAAAAAAAAAAAAAAAAAAAAAAAAAAAAAAAAAAAAAAAAAAAAAAATTACGGC